CTATATAATAAAACACATAGGAAGTTGAATTTTATCCCCTATACATTTCTCACCCCCCAAAACTATTACATTACTCATTTCTATCGCATGCTCAACCATTTAATATTTAATTAATTTATAATTTAACATAATTTTTATTTCAGATATTATCTATACACGGTAGAATAGATTTTTTAAAAAAATTTATCGAATTACATATTTTAAGAAAATGTTGTCAATATCTTTAAGAAAATAATGAATAAAAATAAATTTTAAATTATTTAATCAAACAAATAAAATAAAGAAAAATATTATTTAACATAGTGATATCAATTTCTTAAGACTCGAATTTTTTGTTCTATCGTGCCTTCAGGCACAAGTTATGACTAGTATAACTTGTTATCTAAAAAGGTCCCCTCAATATCGATACATTCAACATATATCTATTGAAATTATGTTACGGTTTGATTATTATTTCGTGTTTTTTCTTTCATTTGACTTGGGTAGATTTTGTATTGTATTTCAGCATTTTGGAGTGCATTCAGGCCACTGATCATTGTCCATCAGGTCCAATTAGTCCCTCTCTTGGGACATGTGGATGTGAAATTTTCCAAACCAACTGCCAATTTCTACCGCAAAATATTGCCTTTTTTTTCTTCTTTTGAAGAAAGGGGGTGGGAGCAAAAAAGAATACCCAGAAATTATACTAATAGGCCCTCACTAATAGCATTATGAGACCCTTGATCGCACTCGTTACACTTTTCTGGAACGAATCTAACTAGATTAATATAACAGTCAACCATTGAGTTCCAACATAAATTTCAAGACTCAAATTTCTATCTTCAAAATGACCCTATTGGACCATCCTAATCGGTGGTTAAAAATAATACCTATTTGGGTCAAGATTTATCTACTTCTTATATCTCTGGAACTTCTAGCAAGCTTCTACAGCTTTAGTTGGCCCTAAAATTTTTGCACGGCCAAATACTAGGAGTGCAATTCGGGCGGGTTGGGGGTTGAGACATTAACCCTAGTTCAACCATATATATATAATCTCCAACCCTAACCTTAACCCTAACTCTACTTCAACTCGAGGTACTCAATTTGAGTATTGCCCGAGTTTAATTCGGGCGAGTTCGGATTGAATTTGAGTAACTTAATTTGGGTTGCTTTTAGGTTAAAAATCGGGGGTTGACTTGAATTATTTAATTTGAGTTAATTTTTTGAAGTGTAAATTTAATTTTTTTTAAGTATAGATCTGATTTTTTCAAGTGATCTGAGATGAATGGCGAGGTGCAGATGAAGAGAGAGGGAGTGAGAGGAGGAGGAATGACGAGTGAGAGAGAGAGGCTGAGAGTCTGAGTCAACTTGGACGAGTGACAATTGAAAGAGGGAGGCTGAGAGAGTAAAGAATGACGAATGAGAGAAGGATTTGAGAGTGATGGAGACGTAGAGGTGAAAATTTTAAATGAAGTGAAAATTTTGACTCTAAAGAGTGAAGATAAATACTAATTCTAGTTAAATATATTTATATATTTATGTATATTCGAGTTCAACCCTATTTTAATATTCGGGTTGAATCCTACAACCCGAGGCTTGCCCAAATTCAATTCGGATTGGAGTTTTTTTGTCCAAGCCTAATCTAAGTATTAAAAATTCTAATCCAAACCCTTTTTTTTTTGGGTTGGGGTCGGATTGAATTTGAGTTGGCCCCTCCAAATTGCACCCCTATCAAATACCAAGCGCATAACCTACTACCCATATATGTAAAATTTACCCTTAATAATATTTTGAACACTACTTATTGGGTCCTAGCAGGTGTGAATGCAATCTGTATAAGCATATTTGAACTTAATTAAAATTAATAAAATAATAAAATTGGGATGATGATGACAAACAATACTCCATTGACAACAAATGGTCAGTCATTAAGCAGTGGAATTCTTGAATAATGTTGTGGGCACCACCGTTCTGCATGACTTCTTTTATAATACCGACACAATCAAAATCATTGGATATTTAATAAATTCTGTAAAATCTAATAAATCTAACGGTTTGTGTTGAGGTGGTGCGGAAAGCTAGGTGCGGAAAGCTCGGCAAGAACGGACTAATAAGGTCAACTATTTGACTACCTTCATAATTAAATATCAGTTACGGCGTATATAGATAAATAGATAGATAAAATTGTAAAATACTTATTTTATATATATAAACATATAATCTTTTATTCCACAATTCTCTCATTATATACAAATACACTTGAAGTTTTCAGACTCCCGACAGCTGAGATATGGTGAAAGATTGTCCAAATGTCATCTTACGTTGTCATATGCCCCCCCAATTTGTTCAATTACAGTATATTTTTGAAGGGCCAAATAAATTGTTTATTCCCACCAAGTGTTTGTTTTGGGTTTGATCTCTCTACTATATATTTTTTCCTATTTCTTTAAAAGATAGATCATTTATTATGAATTCAAATTAAAATCAAACACGAGAAAAGCACATCTTTGTCTAATATATGGTGAAAAAAAGTGTATATGAATTAGGATAAAAGACTCGTACCTAAATGATTACCAACTTTTCACCAATGCTATTTGAACCTAATTCCAATACTTAATATAACGACATTAATTCTAATAGTGAGTCTCAATATTTAATTAAATTCACTATCCATACGATGAATACGCTTCGAACATGTCCGAATAAATATTGGACATATTAAGGGTATTTTGTAATTTTTTAAAATTATAGAATTATTTTATTATTATACAAAAATGAGTGTTGTTATGTAAAAACCGTTACCATGATTTTATATATAAAAAAAATTATTGTTGATGGCATTGATTTGTAATGCTTTCAAAAGATAAAAAGTTATCAGGTCAAATGTAAAAATAATAATTAGTCTTATTTTCGGTACCAAATTATAATTAATTTTTTTTATTTCTTGTGAAAACGCTATGTAGATTAATTTTTAATTTTTTATGTTTAATAAACTTTGAAGTTTTTAAATATGAATTTAAGAACTTCTATGTGCTCTGATAAAAAAAAAATTCACAATCAATTGAAAAAATAAAAATAAAACTTATTAATGACCTCCACGTCAAACTTCATTAGCCTCAATTACAAACCAATACCATCTACAATTCTAGTCGGTCTTGGTGGGACTCGACTCTCTTTCTTCTTGTTGTTGGACTGCCGGTGGTGGTATTGTGGTAGTTCAATAACGAGAAAGAATGACAATTCAAAGCCAAAGTCGAATAGAATACGGCATGGTTGACAAAGTTTAGGTAGACATTCTGTCTTTAGCCAGACTCCTGAAAAGTTTTAACTACCAATTCAGACGTCAAAGTCGGCTCTCAATCTGATAAAAAATAAATTATTCACATCGGAACTAGAATATTCATGGTCAATCAGTCATATTACAATAAATTTGTTTCCAGCCTTTGTACGCACTGCCCGTCAAACAATAGGAATTGATCACGGCCGAAGTCTATTTTGACCCAATGAGAGGATCCTAAAGGCTTGTAATGGCAGTCGCCACTGTCAAATTCTTATTACCTATTAAACCTACAACACAGTTACCCTAATGACCAAAAAAACAAGTCGCCCTCATGACAGGGAAATGAAAGCGAGGTATCATAAAGACTAATTCACAAACGTAGATGATCAGACTTCTTATTTCGTCCGGCTTTCACATATGAACGGAATGGACTTTTTTTCCGTTATGGGCCACCATCACATCCTTAAAATAAATATTAAAAAAAAAAAAGAATTTTATTAAGGGTTCTCAATTGGTAATTTCGTGGTGTTGAATCCCAATTGACAGAATGCATTTATTCTTGTACTATTTACAGATCAACTCAAACAAGGTAGGTAGAAGTGCTTTTTTTTTTTTCAAAAATAAAATTATGAAATCTTCAAGCTTATCTAAGCGGCACAAACAGCTAGCCGGCTAGATTGAAAGTACTTAGCCAAAAAGAGTCGAGACCAGGCCGAAGGCAACTGCCTAAAGTCCCCCAAAAAACCAAAAAAAAAATAAAAACAAGGGCCAAGAACAGCGAGCTAGAAGAAATCAATTGTAAACTTTGGGTGGCTACTCCTGTACGACAAGACCAGATTTTGCAGAGAATGTCGCAAATTAAGTACATTCCCATGTCCCAGTCTTTTCCTACCAATTTCATGGAAGCCCCTCCACATGCATGTTTGACTATTGACCTTTGAAATTTCTTATGTCTTATATGGAAAAAATGATGTCCTGAACTGTTTTAAAACATCATAATCTCTTTCCCTTGTCTTAAAGCCTTTGTTAGCAACATATTAATTGTCTGCAAGTAACAATTCAGGCTGCTTGGCATCCTTCTCTCCTGCATGCATGCACATGCTGCCACTGTAATCTAAATATAATATTACCAACAATCATATCCTAATACTTACAACCACAACCACAACCACAATCTCTCTCTCTCTCTCTCTCTCTCAGAAGCTTACCATAGCCAAATTTTCCTCCTAGCTTCTTAGTTGTTGCCAATTAGAATAATCCATACAAGGAAAAAAAATACTTCATGTCCTTTTTCCTGGAAAGATCTCAGACCTAACATCCCAATGCATGATACAATGTCTAGAGGTGAACTATATATAAATTCATGCTGGGGTGATCAGCCTGGAATGTCTAGTAGTATCCTCATCAGTAGCCAAGACCCAGACCTTTTTCATTGCTTGGCCATGTCATACCCTAATTTTGATGCTCTTAGAGACTTACAAAACTCGGTCAATGATTTGCTTCACTCACCAGCAATCAAGCAATCTATTGTCCACAATCAACAAGAGAAATTGGTACATGAGGTTTCAGAAGCATCTCTGAGAATGTTGGATGTGTGTGGCAAAACCAAAGATGTGCTTCTGCTGGTGAAAGATCATCTACAAGACCTTCAATCTACATTCCAAAGAATAAGCATTGGCGAGACAACCACTGAAGACAAATTTACAGCTTACCATCACCACAGGAAGAAGTTGAAGAAAGAGATGTTGAAGCGCTTGAGCTCAATGAAAGGAATAGAGGAAAAATACATCACCTTAGACCTCTCTCCAATAGAAAACAATCTTACGGCAGTTGTTAACGTGATAAAAGAAGTGAACGTGACCACAATGTCTATCGTGGAGTCATTAATGTCACTCATGTCCTTGCCCCACCCTAACGGCAAACCAAACATAAGGTCTTTTCCATCAAAATTCACCCGAGTAAACAGCCTAAAGTTGTGGGAAAAATGTGACACAACAGTTATTCAGGTGGCAAATAAAAGATTGAAGGCTGTGGAGGTTGTCATTGAGGAGCTTGAAGTTGAGTTAGAGCATATATTCAGAAGGTTAATCCAAACAAGAGTTTCACTTCTTAACTTACTCACCAACTTGAAGACATTGCCACATCATAGCCCATTGTTTTAAGGGCTTGTCTGGCTGGTTCAACTGTTACTGCTAGCCACAAAGCTATAGAAAACAAACAAGAGATTGTAGATTAAATTTCCAACAACGGACCTCAGTATATTCTGTAATATCTACTCTTAATAAAGTTATGGTGTAACCCATCTGCACTCTACTTTGGAAACCTGTGCCGGCATGTACAAAAAGTGTATGCTTGCTCTTCTTGCACATGAGAAGTGACTTTGTCATATAGTCTCCTACATATGCATATATTCACTAGTTAATGAAGTATGAAATGGCAAAGCCAGGCCATATTTGTAACCTGGGCGCTTTAACCAAGCCTCGTTTTCTATACCATTCACCCTTAGTGCCTAGGTACACACCAACCAAATGGACATGAAAGAAAAAAATAATTGGTTTGCTACCGTAACAGCTCTTTTTTTTGGTCTGGTTCAATTGATTTTGTGAATAACCAACGTGGCTCAGAAAAAGAACCCACACCCAAACCAAAAAAAAAATCAAAGAAACAGAATTATTCAGTTGATTGTGGTTACCAAAAATTTGTAAAGGTATTTTTGCATCTATCTAGACAACAAATTTTACTGACATTCAGAAAAGGCTCAGCAAATGCTTCTTTCATGTTTATATGATTTACTAAACTATGATTTTATCATTTCATGAACTTTTTTTGGCTTCAGTTTTTTAGAAACTTTCTTTTTAAGTTTTGATAAATGCAATTACAAGTTAAATATTTATATATATGATCATTTTCACTCTCAAAATATAACCAGTTGTTCAGATCAATGTTGTCTGGGTCGTGGTTCGCTTTAGTACGTAGTACAGGTACGAGTACATGGTACAACATTTTCTTAGGTATGTTGTACGATGGGAGTAGGTTTACTTGATATGGTATTTTGGATCGCAATTCGTTTTGGAATTCTTATGTAGATCATTTTCATTACTATACAATATTATATATTACAGAACATTTATAAACACTAAGTTAGTTACCATTTATCTTATAATTGTGCTTGATTTTCTATTATCTAAAACAATATATAATTATAAATCTATATACATGTAGTCAATTAATGTGTATTTTATATTTGTGTTACATGTTCTGAAGCGAATTAATTTAAGGTTAGTATTATAATTTGGGATCGTCTATTTTGGTGATTTGGGTCGCAAATCCACTTTGTTTGAAATCGATATACCCAGATCGTGGGTCGTTAAGCATTTAATGAATTGTGATAACCATGGTTCAGATTTATATTACCTCATGATACATCATGAGGGTCTTCTGTTAGTTATAGGAAGGATGGAATGTCATACGTTCTTACAAACTCACTACGTGGCTCTTTCTAAATGTAAGAACATCTCGCGTTTTCAAACTTCCATTCAGTTTGATCGGCATTTTTCGCAACCATTATAAAGGTTCAGTTTATTCAATTGATTGCTTTGTTGCCAAGTGGGAAATTTGGGAAATTGGAATTTTTACAAACTAAAAATATTGATTTTTTACCTTCAACCACTAATGGTCCCAGAATTACTATCAGTCTTGGTTTTTATCCAAGACCACAAAAAGTTATCTATGGGTTTCTATAGTACATCAAGATAACGTATTAATAGGTGAAGGTTAATTTATTTTTTTTTTTTGATAAGATAGGTGAAGTTAATTTACAATTTAGCCTAAACGAAATTTGACATTCTAAGACCATAAAATTTGCATATTAATGCCATTTGAAATGGTTGTCAAAAGTTTGCAAGAACTTCTACCCTTAAAAAAGACCATGTGAGCCTTGGGCACGTAACAAAAAGTATTAAGGATCCTTCAAAAGAGGCTGGTCTTATGCAAGTACCAAAATACAAATCTATGTCCATTTATGCAACACATGATGACCCTTACCTTAGCATAAAGGAAGGGGTTGGAAACCCAACTCTAAAACTTCCACTGAATGTAGATCATAGACAACGGATGGATTGGTAACAAAAAAGTATTAAATACAATGAAGGTAAAGTCAAAAGGCTGTAAATGGACCAATGCAAAAATACAATTGAACAAAAGGAAATGAGTCTTCATCGATAATCATGTTTGCAAGGTTGTTTTCAGGGAAAAAAAAAATTAGATTTCAGCAAGATAAAAATAAGAACACCAACAAGCATTTTATAAGAAAAACATGTTAAAACAAGCAACCACATCAAATAGGAGTCTAAGCATTCATGAACCACTTCGTGCTCATAACAATATCCTTCTAAAAAACATTTTATTGAACAAAGATCAACAAAGATGTCCAATAGGCATTCATACCAAGAACCCATCAGTAGCGTGCTTTATGCCTTCTCTTTTGGCTCGTCAATGGACCACCTGAAAACATTATAGCATGGTTATAATGGCACTGTAAAAACATTCCACTCTGGAGTAACATATTACTGAAACACACCTAATACAATGGCACTGTAGGAGTGGTCTAAAAACTTATGGTCCAGCTCAACTTGTGGGGTCCATAGGAAACACACTAATATAGTTTTTCTAGTGATTAATTCAAAACAATGAATTAATCAGAGACGGCTGCCCTTAGCTTTAACCAGAGATGGTTCAATATTGAGACATCCAAACACACATTGGCATGGTTCAGAGGTTGCTAATATAATCCATCCACTGGCACAGGTGCTTTGGTGACAAATTAAAATCAACCAAATACATATACTAGTCATAGGGTTTTCACTAGATAGTTGTTTCAATAAAACTGTGGTTACTCTACATTTTCTTCCAAGGAACGGTGAGATTTATCTACTTATACATGTTGATAAAAACTTACTAGGAAAACCATAATTGAAAGTTTTTACATATACATAGCACAATATAAAACAAAACTAAGTCAACACTTCCCATGAGAAAGCTTCATCAATTTTTTTTTGTACTTTATACATACCAAGATTTTTTTTTTTAAAATTCAGCCTTCAGGTATTTATGAGCTAATGAATATGAGCTGCTTCTGCACTGTGTCTATTCGACATGGCTAACTTTACTTCATGCTAGTTGCTACTAATAAGATTAATTACGTGCATGATTTAAAAGGGTATTCATTATAACAATCCATTACGAAGCAGTTTCCATATAGTACCTAATGCTCATGTCCATGTCCATGGCCGTGGGAGTGATCGTCATGCCCTTCCCAAGGATGCCGCCAACCCTACATGACACAGACCAAGTCTAAAAGTTAATAAAACTAGCAAACAAAAGAAGCTCAATAATAACGAAGGAAGGAAAAAGGTGTTGGCTCACCAAAACTACAGGACCATCTTGCTTAGCCCTGTACAGAATCCAAAACCTGAAACATTAAATCAAGAAAATTTCAGTTAAGTCAACTAGCTGCTAGCAATATGACATCTATGTGAGCATAAATCCATGTGTATACACATTTGTCTCCACATATGTTGCAGAACTAGACCTTTTAATCCACTGCATTACTCATTTTACACTACCGAGCAAAAGACAAACACAAAGACAACCTTAACTCCTAGACCTTCCTCCTACACCCTGCTAAGTTGCCCGTTCCATCTCCAACACCACTTTTTTATTTCTTTGCTTGGCACTTCCACATGACCGTATATATTTTCACTTACCCGAACGGACTTCCACATCTTCTTTCACAAACAGTTACCAAAATTATCGCAATAATAAAAGAAGGATTTATATCAAGAATATAAATGAAAATACCAGGACAAGCATCTTCCCCGGAAGATGCTTGCTATACATCCTTTCTTCCAGAAATTAGGATGGGCCCTTTTGTTATTTTTTAAGAACTAGTACAATGTGTGTTAGGCTTTTATTTAATCCTATTCCTATATATTACCAAACAACTGAGAGGGGAACATTTATGCCTAAAAAGTATTTTATCAATTAGGATGATTTCACCCACCACAACTGATTTCTTAAAGCCAACGAATAGCATCAAATGAGACATCTCATGCCATTGCAGGACATCAAAGTAGGATATAAATCATAGAATTCGTTTATAGTTACTCAACCAGCCCTATAAAGTTTCGAGTCCCGTTACAATAAATGGAAACAGGTTTCTCACCTTCACCCTCATCGTTGGCCTACACCCAATAATGCCGTATAACACCTCAATATGAAAATTATAGCTTTCCATATCCCCTAAAACCAAAACAGACTCAGCTTGCTTTCAAGAAAAGTAGAGGATAACTTGATTTCACTTTAAGCAAATTTCATTTCCCCATTTCAACTCATGAGAAGTACAAAATTTTCCTCCCAAAAACCAGTAGAGAAAACCTTGAATTAGCAAGATATTTCACAAAATAACCAAAAAGGGTAGCAGAATAGTGAAATTGAAACCCCTGACAAAACGCGGCCAAAATTATAAACCCAAAACAGCCAATTCGTTTCTCTCTAATCCTTATCACCAGCCTCTTAATTTTAGATTTTCAATCTTATTCATTTTCGATAAATACCGTCAATCTTATTGCAAAACCCTAATTAAGCAATTTAAGAGAAGCATGCAGATCTAAGCCGAAATAATTCACAAAGCAACAATCATACTCAAATTGGTGATGGTAATCTGATAAAATAATCAAAGCAGAAAGTGATGAGAGAGAGAAAGAGATGAAGATGATGGGATTACCACATGATGGCACACATGCCCTTTCCGGTGACAGAATGCCAACGCTTCGGGTGATGCAAAGTCACACCGTTGTACGTAGTGCTGTGTCCATCTCCTCCATGTCCTCCGCCCATCTCTCTCTCTCTCTCTCTCTCTCTCTCTCTCCAACGAGTCAATCACAGTAATCGCTTTTGAGCACTAGCAGCCTCAAAATCGACGAAACGAAGTTGATGAGAGAATATCAGCCATCTCTGACAAAAGACGGTCTTTGGCCCGTGAGCGTATTGGGTTATGGGCAGATATTCGGTCCGCCCCGATTTGATCCGATATTCCAAGTCATCATGTCATTAATGATCAGATCCTTGATCCAATAACCCTCTAATAATCTACAGAGACCCCAAGGTTTCTCATTTAATATTTCAGACCCACTTGTATTTGTAAAACACAATAATTCCGTTTTATTTTTTTTTTCTCTCTAGTTTTATAATGTGGTTGAGATGGTGATGGATTTGGGCAATGGGTGCATCTATGGGTGAATATAATTGTCAAAATAGTGGAGTTTATTAAATCAATGCGATGCTTTTTTAATTTATTCATGATATGCCCAACTCTCCTACCCCTTATAGCCAAACTAGTCTTCTTATAAACTAAAGATCAATGTTATTATAACGTAATTGATTAATCTAATTCATTATAATTTTTAGATTAACTGTGAAATTTTATTAAATATTAGAATTTAGTATTGATTTAATGGTTCAATTGAAACCACAACATTATCTCAACAAATTAAATTAAAATTTTAAACTCAAATAACATTTCTCAAATTAAAAAATAATATAGTGTAGACAAAATGAGTTGTAAATTCAAAACTTGATTATTTTTTTGGGCAAAGTTATAAAAGATTTATCTTTCATGAATTTTTTAGTATCGACATAGATGACCTCATTTTGACAAAATCGATAAAAGAATTGATTAATGTGCATATAAATTAGCTTAAACACTCATAATCGTAGTAACAAAAAAATAAGTCTTTTTACCCAAAAATTAAAGATTTTATCTAAAAAAAAAAGGTACTTCTTCTTATTATTATTAAGTATTTATATTATTTTTTGAGTGTAACTTATCAATTTTGAGTTCATTTATCATATTTTAAAGTAAATTTTGATATTTTTTAGGATAAAATTAGTTTTTTTGTAATGTTTCGAAAGAATGGTATTCCCAAAAAAATGAAAAATAACAAAACCAAACAAGTCTATGCTGTGTTTGGTTTGCAGCATTAACTCATGGAAATAAAATATGGTGATATGTATATATTTCTTCGATCAGTGGGATAATATAAAGGTAGAATTATACATGACATTGAAATGTATGCATTTCTACTTTTTTTTTATTGAATGTCTACTATTGATATTAATTATTTTTTAGGGAATGTTTTCGTTATGTGATTATTCGTGAGTGTATTGATTGCAAAATTATTAAATTGTATTTCTTGAGTTTTTAAAAATTTATGGGAGTACTCGTTGTAAAGGTGTATATTAAATTACATAAAAAATTTATGATAAAAAAATACTTTTGGTTAAGTTTGATTCCATTCTAATTGAAATTATTTTATCCCATCGTTGGAATGGAATGTGCATTCCAATCCAAAGACTTAATTCTAATTAATTGTCAAACATTAGAATGATAATCATATTCCATTTTTATGTCCATTCAATTTCATTTTTATTCTTATGTTTATTCCATTCTTATTCTTATGCCTATTCCATTTTTATGTTTATTCTATCACGACCCACTTGATGTAAATGGGGGCTTATGCAAAAATTTTAAATGGGACCCATTTAAAATTTATTATATGATTAATATTTTACTTAAAAATTATTCTTCTCAGTTTTTGATTTAGTGATCAAACTTTTACATTTAAGTTTCACTAATATATCATTTTCAATAGATAATAGGACTAATTAATTCGATATTTCTTGTGACATAGTTAATCAAAAGAAATATTTTTTAATTTTTAATTTTGAAAAATTTCTTTCAACAAAGAAATGCTTACCAACGATTTTTTAATAAGTAGGCGAGAAAAATATCTAAAAGTTATAATAAAATAAAATTGCATAGACTAGCTTTTCAGTTGACCGTTAAAAAAAGTTTTTAGAAATTAAAAAGAGTAAAATCACATAGACTTGCTTTTCAGTTGACCGTTAAAAAAAGTTTTTAAAAGTTAAAAAGAGTAAAATATTGATTAAAAAAAAGAAATTATTGAGTTTTTTATTTTATTTTAGGTTTTTTTGTTTTAGTTTGGACTTTTTTTATGATATATATATATATATATATATATATATATATATATATTTTTTTTTAATTGGGTTTATACAGATTAAATTTTTTGAATAATATATAACATTAATTCTCAAAGACTATATAATATTATCTTAATATTATTTAGGATCCCTCTTAAAAAAAAGAGTAATATCCAAGCCTCCCAATTGAGCCGACCCATTCCTGATTGAAGGTATTACTTCGTACCAGCAACATAAAACTTGAACTCGATGAACTCCATTTCAACAAATCAAAAGTTACCGTAACACAACTCAGTCACTCTGTACTGCTGTATACAGAGTATGTAAGCTGATAAAGATAGAAGTGAACCCACTCTTCTGATTCTCTAATGGCGGAACAGAATAGCAACCTCATGATCGACCCAAGAAGCGGGTTTTGCAAATCCAACTCTACCTTCTACAGCAAACGCCAACCAGTCGCTTTACCATCCAATGAATCTCTCGACATCACCACTTTCATCTCTTCACATGCCCACCATGGCAAGACTGCCTTCATCGACGCAACCACTGGCCACCGCCTCAGTTTTACGGAGATCTGGAGAGCCGTCGACTCCGTTACTTCATCTCTCTCTGAAATGGGGATTCGCAAAGGTCACGTCATCCTCCTCCTCTCTCCTAACTCCATCTTCTTCCCCATCGTTTGCCACTCCGTCATGTCCCTCGGTGCAATCATCACCACCATCAACCCTCTCAACACCCATCGCGAAATCTCCAAACAAATTGCAGATTCCAAACCCGTTCTCGTCTTCACAATTCCCCAACTTGTCCCTAAACTCGGCGACTCAAACCTCCCCATCGTACTCATCGGCCATGAACTAAATACATTACCCAATTCCACCATCAAACCCAGAATAGTGACAACATTAGAAGCCATGATGAACAAAGAACCGAGTCAGAGCCGAGTCAAGGAAAGGGTGAGTGAGGACGACGCGGCAACATTGCTATACTCGTCCGGTACTACCGGGGTTAGCAAAGGAGTATTATCATCGCATAGTAACCTAATAGCTATGGTTCAAGCTACTTTAGGTCGGTTTCGATTAGACGAAGGAGAGCAAACGTTTATCTGCACCATCCCTATGTTTCATATCTACGGGTTAGCAGTATTTGCGACGGCATTATTGGCCTCAGGATCGACGGTGGTGGTTCTTTCTAAATTCGATATGGACAAAATGCTCGTGGCAATCGACAAGTATTCTGCGACGTACCTCCCTCTTGTGCCACCAATACTGGTGGCACTGGTAAACAATGCCGATCATATTAAGAAGAAGTACAATTTGAGTTCACTTCGATCGATTTTATCGGGTGGTGCGCCGTTGGGTAAAGAGCTGATAGAGGGGTTTTTGGGGAAGTACCCGACGGTGGCGATTTTGCAGGGCTATGCGATGACTGAATCAACGGGTATAGGGGCTTCGACCGACTCTTTGGAAGAGAGTAGACGGTACGGCACGGCGGGATTGTTGTCGCCAAACATGGAGGCCAAGATTGTTGACCCAGACAGTGGAGAGGCGTTGCCGGTAAATCGGACGGGTGAGCTTCGGCTTAGAGGTCCGACGATTATGAAAGGTTAGGATATGGCATATTCCTATTCCGGTTTTTTTTTTTTTTCCTAATAAAAATATGTTTTATAGAGTTGGGTGGACACAGTTGCAAATGATTAAATTGTCACAGAGGCGCAGACAAATGGTTTAATTGAAACAATCAGATAATTTAAGGTCACAATCGACACAAATATCATAATTTGAGAGTCACGTGTATAATTTATTCTATTTTTTTCTTACAAAGTTTATTAAATAAACATTCAGTGTGATGGTTATAGCATTTAATGTGTTAAATAAACGAGTGGTTAAGGTGACCCCACCTTTTCATACAGGGTGGTTAGTATCTTACATAGGGTAGTTATTTGAATGATTAAAACCCACTTTTCTTATCATCGGACGGTTACACACACGATAATATTGACGTGGTGTAACCGTTAATCCCAACATTTACTTCTGTCGACAACAGTTCATGATACTTCCAATCTTGTATGTATGGTATATCCTTTGTAAGCTGTGAAGCAAGACCTCTACGAATTTATTATACATATTTTTTGTAGCATAATATTTCATGTGCTAGAGCCTAGGAAGTTAATGTTAAATCAGTTTTGCAATGTGGTCGTGATAGGTTATTTCGGTAATGAAGAAGCAACTGCATCAACTCTGGATTCAAATGGATGGTTAAGAACTGGAGACCTATGCTACATCGATGATGACGGATTCATCTTTGTTGTCGATAGGCTGAAGGAACTGATCAAATACAAGGGCTACCAGGTAAACGGCTCATTTCTTTCAACCTTCATATATTCATGGAAACTCAGAGCAACCTAAGGTTGGATATATTGATTGCTCGGTCCCAGGATCACATACTCCAATCCCCCTTGGCCTAAAAGGCTTGTCTTCTGGGGATTTCTTTTTTAGGATCATCCATTTTCTCGGTACAATACTGTTCATGTCCACGTGTCATGTCTTGTGATATGAGCATCGTTTCGTGTGCCATCATATATTCTCTAAGTTATTGTGGATCATATCTATTGTGTATGCTCACATGAACTAGTCACCTGATTTGATTTGGTAGGTTCCTCCGGCGGAGCTAGAGGCTTTGTTACTCACTCATCCGGAAATTGATGATGCTGCTGTTATCCCGTATATATATTTTCTTTCGTTTTCTTTTTTTCTTTCACATCTTGAAAACAGAGGCTTAGTATGATCGATTGTGTTTCAGATTTCCGGATAAGGAGGTTGGGCAGTATCCCATGGCATATGTGGTACGAAAAACAGGAAGCGATTTGTCGGACAGTTCTGTCATGGACTTCATTGCTAAACAGGTAAGTTCAATGTAGGGATCACAAAAATCGAGGCTTTTGTTTCTTGTTCTGACATTTTGAACTCCATTTGAGCTTTGATGGCTTGTTAATTACACTGAGATAAACAAATTTTTTTTGCAGGTTGCTCCTTATAAAAAAATCCGGCGAGTGGCATTTGTAGCTTCCATCCCCAAGAATCCATCAGGCAAGTTACTCAGGAAGGATCTGATAAAACTTGCAACCTCTAAACTCTGAAAGAGCTTGAGTTTTTCCTCTTGGAAGGATAGGGAAGTATCACATTTAGCTTTGAATCTATGTGAGCCTCCCCATAGTACTCCTATTAATTACCTTAAAAATAACAAATGTGATGTGAAGTCCTTGGGAGCATATTTTACAGAAAATAAAACATTAGAAGTGGAAAGCTGTTGATTTTGTCTTTTTTATTTCCAAATGATTGATGTTTGTTTTTGTAAAGGGTAATAAGACATGGTAAAATCAACCCGTAAAAAAAATTATGGTAATGGGATTACCACACGATGGAAAGTCATGCATTTGCAAGGAGGATAACTCGATTTTGACATAAGTATACAATATAACTAGTCTTTATAAATTTAATTTAATAGCTTTTTCGTATTGATCAGGTATTGTATGGATTCTTTCTTCTTCGTCTTTTTTTGATAACTCACGAATTCTCACCAGCCTAGCTCATTTGGATCTATGGTCGATAGTCAATTTGAGTCCACACGTAAAACTTTTTTTACATGCATAGGGGTTAAATTTAAGAGAGACAGTCCTAAGGAATATTTTTGTCCTGTAAAATATCAAACATTTGACTAATGTCAACTTAAAACATCTATCAAGTGATTGAAAGGTTATTGTATGAATTCTTGTGGGTTTTAGAGGATGCTGACTTAGTTTTACTACCATAAGAATCAAATGGATTTTATGATAGTTTTATGATTATTGAATTTGGTTGAAGAGAGAAAGGAGCCATTTGACTTTTGAATTAACCATTTGTTCATGTTAACTCTAAGCATGATATGATTAATGAATGCATGCATCGTGTTAATATCAAGAATCTGATATAATTATTTGAATGAATCAATTAGGATTAACTACTATATAACATACTTCTGCAATAAAATGACCTAAACAAAATTGGTTCATAATTTCACTTCCGACCCGTGATATTTTGGGGCCTAACATAGAATCAATAAATAAGATGTTTTTATTTTTAATATTAATAAATAAATTTAATTTTTAAAATTTTGAAATAAAAAATATTAATTAAATTTTTATATTCAAACTTTTGTTATCATATTTAAACTTGTTAGTAAGTGATTAAGAGAAAGAAACTGCAAGCTTAACGATTTTTTTTTATTTTAGTGAAAATTAAGACTAAATCCTCTTTGAAGGATTTATAATGAGTTTAGTCTGTCAAAAAAATTTATTTGGGGGTAAATTCATTTTTAATTTTACTAATAAGTAGTTAAGTCTACTATTTTTTTAAAACTCAAAAATGTCGTTCTAATGACTTAAAAAACAATCTTGAATATTAAATTAACTTCTTAAACAATTCTCTTCACAATTAATGAACGATTTTTTTCCATAAAATCTAAAATTTAAATTTGACATCACTATCATCTCTCTCTCTCATTTTTTTTTGCTGAGAAGATTATGATTAATTTAATATTAAATGCTACTTTACATTATTATTTTTTTGTTGTGCATGTTACTATTTTTTTATTGAGCATGTTATTATTGTCATTATTTTTCAAATATTAATATTCAATGTTACTATTTTTTTGTGTTTAAGTGGTACTATTTTTTGTGTTTGAATGTTATTATTTTTTATTTTTAATATTACACTACATATATATGAGGGAAAGAGAATAAATAGTCATATTTTATATATGAATATAAATAGATATTGGAGAGAGAATTTTAATGTTAGTTAAATTTCTAAAATTTAGGTGTTGTTAATTTTTAAATTTATTGTACTTAAATATAAATAATGAGAGTATTTTGAACAATGAAGATCAAAATAAACTTAATATTAAATAAATTTTTTTGATAAATTTTTCACCAAATAAATCCATAAAAAAAAAACCGATCTTCAAATTTTTCAATTTTTTATTGGATCTATTATTATAGGCCTAATAAATGGTGATTGGGCCGGCCCTAATTGTAAATCTATGACAAACCCGTAACCGTAATATTTCCTCCTCATGCGATTCGGTATTACAAAAATGAATATATTAATGGGGCCGGATTTTAAATCCAGTAGTAATGCTAATGCTACAATCCAAAATGAATTTTGGGTTTAACTACTTCAAGTCCCCTGAGATTTCTCATTTCATCTGGCACCCCTGTAAATTTCAAAATATCTCATAATGTTATTTAAACATGGATAATATTAGATGGACTTAAAAATTAAATTTGATAATCTCAATTATTGAATAAATAATGGATCTCAATAAATACTGAAACTCATAATAAAATTAATATTTAAAATAATCAAATCTATTTTTAAAATTTAATTAGCATCACTCTTTAAACATTTCAGCTGACCTGACAGACCCACGAACCAACCCCTCCCCCGCGCCCACCCTACAACGGTCCAACGAAGCCCACCCACAACCATCTCCGCTGCTCTCTCTCTCTCTCTCTCTCTCTCTCTCTCTCTCTCTCTCTCTATTCTCTGTAACGTGGTGGTAATGGGTTTGGTCGGTGGTTGCAATGGTAAGATTGCAAATAAACTACTCTGCACTGCAACAACCCACCCCCATTCAAACAAATCTGTCAGAACCAAACACTGTCAACCTTGCTCAACTCCATTTCAACGAATAAAATGACATTGAACACAAAAACAACATTTTATACAGAAGAGAAGCTAATTAAGCAAGCTGATCAAAATCAAAGTGAAAGCACTCTTCTGATTCTGTCATGGAGCAGAATGGAAACCTCATGATCGACCCAAGAAGCGGGTTTTGCAAAGCCAACTCTACCTTCTACAGCAAACGCCAACCACTCGCATTACCATCCAACGAATCTCTCGACGTCACCACTTTCGTCTCTTCACGTGCCCACCATGGCAAGACTGCCTTCATCAACGCAACCACTGGCCACCGCCTCAGTTTTACCGAGATCTGGAGAGCCGTCGACGCCGTTGCTTCATCTCTCTCTGAAATGGGGATTCGCAAGGGCCACGTCATCCTCCTCCTCTCTCCTAATTCCTTCTTCTTCCCCATTGTTTGCCACTCCGTCATGTCCCTCGGTGCAATCATCNTATTATTTTTTATTTTTAATATTACACTACATATATATGAGGGAAAGAGAATAAATAGTCATATTTTATATATGAATATAAATAGATATTGGAGAGAGAATTTTAATGTTAGTTAAATTTCTAAAATTTAGGTGTTGTTAATTTTTAAATTTATTGTACTTAAATATAAATAATGAGAGTATTTTGAACAATGAAGATCAAAATAAACTTAATATTAAATAAATTTTTTTGATAAATTTTTCACCAAATAAATCCATAAAAAAAAAACCGATCTTCAAATTTTTCAATTTTTTATTGGATCTATTATTATAGGCCTAATAAATGGTGATTGGGCCGGCCCTAATTGTAAATCTATGACAAACCCGTAACCGTAATATTTCCTCCTCATGCGATTCGGTATTACAAAAATGAATATATTAATGGGGCCGGATTTTAAATCCAGTAGTAATGCTAATGCTACAATCCAAAATGAATTTTGGGTTTAACTACTTCAAGTCCCCTGAGATTTCTCATTTCATCTGGCACCCCTGTAAATTTCAAAATATCTCATAATGTTATTTAAACATGGATAATATTAGATGGACTTAAAAATTAAATTTGATAATCTCAATTATTGAATAAATAATGGATCTCAATAAATACTGAAACTCATAATAAAATTAATATTTAAAATAATCAAATCTATTTTTAAAATTTAATTAGCATCACTCTTTAAACATTTCAGCTGACCTGACAGACCCACGAACCAACCCCTCCCCCGCGCCCACCCTACAACGGTCCAACGAAGCCCACCCACAACCATCTCCGCTGCTCTCTCTCTCTCTCTCTCTCTCTCTCTCTCTCTCTCTCTCTATTCTCTGTAACGTGGTGGTAATGGGTTTGGTCGGTGGTTGCAATGGTAAGATTGCAAATAAACTACTCTGCACTGCAACAACCCACCCCCATTCAAACAAATCTGTCAGAACCAAACACTGTCAACCTTGCTCAACTCCATTTCAACGAATAAAATGACATTGAACACAAAAACAACATTTTATACAGAAGAGAAGCTAATTAAGCAAGCTGATCAAAATCAAAGTGAAAGCACTCTTCTGATTCTGTCATGGAGCAGAATGGAAACCTCATGATCGACCCAAGAAGCGGGTTTTGCAAAGCCAACTCTACCTTCTACAGCAAACGCCAACCACTCGCATTACCATCCAACGAATCTCTCGACGTCACCACTTTCGTCTCTTCACGTGCCCACCATGGCAAGACTGCCTTCATCAACGCAACCACTGGCCACCGCCTCAGTTTTACCGAGATCTGGAGAGCCGTCGACGCCGTTGCTTCATCTCTCTCTGAAATGGGGATTCGCAAGGGCCACGTCATCCTCCTCCTCTCTCCTAATTCCTTCTTCTTCCCCATTGTTTGCCACTCCGTCATGTCCCTCGGTGCAATCATCACCACCACCAACCCTCTCAACACCCATGGCGAAATCTCCAAACAAATTGCAGATTCCAAACCCGTTCTCGTCTTCACCATTCCCCAACTTGTCCCCAAACTCGGCGACTCAAACCTCCCATCGTACTCATTGGCCATGAAATTGATTCACTTCCCAATTCCACTTCCAAACCCACAGTCGTGACAACATTAGAAGCCATGATGAAAAAAGAACCGAGTCAGAGCCGGGTCAAGGAAAGGGTGACTCAGGATGACGTGGCAACGTTGATATACTCTTCTGGTACTACAGGGGAAAGCAAAGGAGTGGTAACGTCGCACAAAAGCCACATAGCCATTGTTGAAGCTTCTGTAGGCTCATTTCGATCAGGGGAAGGAGAGCAAACGATTATCTGCACCATCCCTATGTTTCGCATCTATGGGTTAGTTTTTGCGACGGGATTATTGGCAACGGGATCGACGGTGGTGGTTCTTTCTAAATTTGAGATAGACGAAATGCTTTTGGCAATCGACAAGTATTCTGCAACTTTCCTCCCTCTTGTGCCACCAATACTGGTGGCATTAGTAAATAACGCTGATCATATAAATAAAAAGTATGATTTGAGTTCACTTAAATGGGTTTTTTCGGGAGGCTCGCCTTTGGGCAAAGAGGTGATGGATGGGTTTTTGGAGAAGTACCCGACGGTGGCGATTTTGCGGGGGTATGGTTTGACTGAATCCACGGGTGCAGGGTCGTCGGCGGATTCCTTGGAGGAGAGTCAACGGTATGGCTCAGCGGGATTGTTGTCGCCGAGCATAGAGGCCAAGATTGTTGATCCGGAGAGTGGAGGGGCATTGCCGGTTAATCGTAGGGGTGAGCTTTGGCTTAGAGGTCCCAGCATTATGAAAGGTAAAAGTAATTGTATTGAACAATCTGCTTTTGTTGACTTGTTATTTTCTTCTCTCTGTTTGCCAATACTCCCACTTTAGCCATTATGTGTGATCCGACCATTTTCTATAAATTTCAATGAGGCATATTGATTGAATGATTAGTATATTAAACATTCAATCCTATTCTATAAATTTCACTTAGCCTTTTTGATTGAATGATTGTTATACTCAACGTTCAATCCTATATTACATGAGCTTCCCGCATTCATATTCTGATTGATTTTCATGCATCGGTTTTTATGAGCACTCATTTTGACAACAGTTTTTCAGCACAGTTCTCTCGCTTACAGTGAGTTTAAGAGGGTTGGAGAGATGAGTTATAGATGCTCATTCCTTTCGGCAAGAACTAGTATTTAGGTCCAAACTCATCACATATTGCTTGGATGGATGAACACTTGAAACATGTTCCCATTTTGTTTTTTGTTTTTGTTCTGTTTTTTAGGAGAATTTCATTCACTGTGGTGTAATATAAAAGACTGTTCTGCAATAACAATAGTGATGTGGCATATATATTTCTTTTTGAGCTATTGCTTCTTTTTTTTTTAATTTTTTTTCTGGCGAAATCTCACATTAATTAGGAGGTGTGACAAAGTTTTGTGTTTGCTTCTATCAAGATTTAGGTGCAACAGTTGCAAGTGACTAAATTGTCCGTGTCCCTTTGCATTATTCTTCCTATTTCCTGTTTTTCACAGGCGGAATGATTCATAATGAATAAAGTGAATCTTTCTTTCTGATGGTTTATCAAGTGAAGGTAAGCTTGAAAAGCACACAAGGATTGATTTTCCCCTACTGTTGTAATTTTTAGGTTCCCTACATACCATTACATTGCTAACTATGGAGAACAGGATCTGGTCCATCTCTTGATGGGCTGCATTAGCTAACCGAGTTTGCCTGAAATTTAGCTTGATCATGCCATTAACTTATTTTGTAGTAAACTTGGTTCAAGAAGTGAGATACACCAAATAGATATGGGTTTGTCTCATCACCATTTTTTTTATAATGACCTATATTAATTTTCTCTTGCAGGGTTTATTTTCAAGCTCTTAGATATGATATCCTTGTGAGCTGTGACTCAGAATTTATACATAGTGTTGTATAATTTTTCATTTGCTAGCAAGTTAATGATAATCAGTTCTTCAATGGTTTTGTCACAGGTTATTTTCAAAATAAAGCAGCAACTGCATCAACTCTTGATTCAGATGGATGGTTAAGAACTGGGGATCTCTGCTACATCGATGATGATGGATTTGTTTTTGTGGTTGATAGATTGAAGGAACTAATCAAATACAAGGGCTACCCGGTGATATTGAACAAGTAGTTACTCCTTTTTTCAATTTTCATTCATGGAAATCCTGCCAACAAAGTTGAATTGTTTTCTTTAAGCTAGTAGCGTTTGCATGCCCATGTTACATGAAGAAATGATTTCTCCACATTATTGTAGATTTTGGTGTATGAATATGCTCCGATGACTAAGTCAACTGATTTGTTAGGTTCCCCCGGCAGAGCTAGAGGCTTTATTACTCACTCACCCAGAAATTGTTGACGCTGCTGTTATACCGTAAGCTCATTTCTCCATCTTTGTGAAAGAACTTGCACATTTGCTCCCATAAAAAAGGAAAATGCTAATTTCCAGAATCCTTTTCTGTTTTTCTTTCTCATAAGAGAAAGCAATCAATCTTAATGATCCATCTCTTGCGATATAGGCTTAGTTTTATAATTTGTGTTTCAGATTTCTGGATATGGAGGTTGGGCAGTATCCCATGGCATTTGTGGTATGAAAAACAGGAAGTGATTTTCCAGAGTGTGAAGTCATGGACTTCATCGCTAAACAGGTAAATCTTAGTGAAGATGAAAAACCTGATGGCCTGTCCCTTTTTCTGACATTTTAAACTCCATTTGAGCTTCGAAGCTGTTATCTACAAGATTGTCAAAACTTATATCGGAAGGCATATTTTTTCAAAAATCGCGTATCGTGTGCAGTTTTATAAAAGATATTAAAAAATACGTATACTTGTGAGAAAAGGACATAATAACATTTCATTGCACCTTAAATTTTTCACATAATCTATTTTAAAGAGCCTACAAGGACCAAAACAAAAAGTTAGCAATTTAAGTATTCAAGGTTTTAACGTATTTCATCAATATTAAAATTTAGAGAGTTCTAGTTAAAACATCTAGAGGAGCTAGAGGATGACACTTCTAAAACTATTTACTCCTGTGATGGGACGAAGAGCACAAGAAGAATTTTATTTCTTAAAACTCTAGGTAGTTGTTTCATTACCTAGTGTTTAAAAATTTTACTTTCACGTGAAAAGACATGAGTTCTGGTCAAAGTCGAAAAAAAAAGAAGATCAACTTGTTTGACCCCGTATTGGATGACTTGTATGTATCATATCATGTATCGAAAGTGAAAATCCTATATTCTTAAGCAATAAATATCCTTTTTTTCATGTATCGAAATGTATCGTATCATACTAATAACTATGAAGTCTTATTTATACTAAGAGATGAACATTTTAAATGGCATACAGGTTGCTCCATACAAAAGGATCCAGCGAGTGGCATTTGTAACTGCAGTCCCCAAGAATCCATCAGGCAAGTTACTTAGGAAGGATCTGAGAAAACTTGCAACCTCCAACCTTTGAAAGAGCTTGAGAGTTCCCTTCGAAGGATAGGGAAGTATGACATTCTTTTGTTGAGTCAACTTTGAATCTATGTGAGACCCATAGTACTTGTATCACCTTAAAATAACAAATGTGATTTAAGTTCTTGTGAGCATCAACAGAAAATATAATATAAATAGAAAATTATTCTTTCTGACGTGCTGTTGCCAATAGAACAATAGGCAATGTGTGCACTTGTTAGACAGTCTCTGTTGATTTGCAACTGTTTCAACATTGGAAATGTAAAATTATTTTTTTTCCCAAACCCCGCAATCTGCTTCTCTCCTAGGTTGGCTGGACAGTCTGCACAAATATTCCATTCTCACAGCATATGCATAATGTTGATGTTGTTAAGTCTCTATTAGGTACTTGCCCTTGTCGACTAATGGCCTCATGGTATAGCTTTCCTTCAAAGGTTGAGCAAGAGGCTGTAAGCCTCTAGTGAGTCAAAATTCCATTCTCACAGCATATGCATAATGTTGATGTTGTCAAGTCTCTATTAGGTACTTGCCCTTGTCCACTAGTTGTCTCATGGTATGGCTTTCCTCCAAGTGTTGAGCAAGAGGCTGTAAGCCTCTAGTGAGTCGATCTCCAGAATTTTTCCAACTCTTCGTTCTTGGATCATCTGCAGCTTTATAAATCTCCTAAAAATCTCCCCTATAATCCTCATCTCTGGGTATACCACTGATTAAGAAGTTCCTGAACTTTTTATACAAGCTGAAAGATTTTCGATTAGGTGCCTGTTTTCTTCCAGTGTGGTGCGTTCTCTGGAGCACTGGGACATATGCTTTGCACGACTCCTGTAATAGAGGGTGATGGAGCAATCAGTAAATGAGGTCAATAAGATGGACCCAGAGTTTGGAGATCAATCCTCAGGTGATGGTGATGACGTGGCTCTGGTCCTGTCAAAGGAAACTGAGAGTAGGGATCGGTGTGATCCCAGTTGAACCACATTCGACATCAAAGTTAGTTTTCTCTTAGGCTTGAGAGAGAGAGAGAGAGAGAGAGAGAGAGAGAGAGTGAGTTAGTGTTTTTCTCTTAGGCTATTTTCTTACCCCCAAACCTTCATTTACGAGGGTTTTTATAGTGTGTATTGAGTCTGTTTTTAGTTTAAACGGTAATAATTTGGTGTAATCATTCATAGTTGAGTATGCAAAAAACCATCGTCATACAAGAGCTTGTCAGCTTGGTGGAAGCTCATGTGTGATGTAAGACATAATATCACGTGTTGCATTCTTTCTGACCAAGTCTATGCAGATGGTGGCCGACGTAACTTGATTGTTTGGTAATTTCAAGTTATGATCGCTCACCATGCTCCGAAATTCGAACTGTAGTAGGGATTATATCCATCATACCGCATGAGTGCATGATGTCAGTTTGGTGGGATTGAATGACGCCATATTTGCACTTGGAAACAGAGGAAATAGGAAATTCAAACAAGAACTATTTCTCATTGTTTCATTTCATGTTTTGTCTTTGAATAAGTAGCCAATTGTGGGCTAGGAAGCCTAATCAGATTTAACATTGATTGAGGTAGACGTGAGAGAGAAGACACCAAGTAGTCTACAGTGATAATTTTACACTCGTAGTCAGACTTTGAATGATAGTTAATTGTCCTTATTCTTCTTTTTGAATTGCATTATTGGGTAAGGGTGAGTGTTTGCCAAAATATGGTACCAATGGTGACAATCAATACTGGGTCATATCAGTTGAGATATTATTACATTAATAAATTATATTAAATTTTTTATTTCAAAAAGTATTACTCTTTTATGACACTCATCGTGTGTAAAAGAAGTCTCTTTTCCCAAGAAATGATTTGGCTCATATTAAATTCGTTCGTATTTGTTCATTTAGTAAATTAATTGAGCTTAAACTCTATTTTGGGTTTTTGCTTTTGAGTTTAGATGTGTTTGAAATTAGGGGTGTTAATCTTGTGAACTTAAGTTTGATTCTGTCGAACTTGTTTTTCTAAATAATTTATCTCTTATCTGAATTAAACCCGAATAATTCATCTCAATTAATACTAATGTTTGAAATTGAATTAGATCTGCTTAACCAAATTAGTCTGAGTATTAATTTGGACAAACAATTAACTAGGTAAACTTGGACACGATGTTTGAAATTTGTGACTGCAAGAAGCAAAATCTGGATTTACCTCTACCTCTCTCTTAAGAGATGTTTAGTTTTGAGAGAGGTAGAGGTAAATCCAAATTTTGACTCTTACTGTGACAAATTCCAAATTAATCTCAAGCACTCTAACCCGAGTCAAATCAGACTGGAGCTGGATTTGACTCGTCGATTGNGAGAGAGAGAGAGAGAGAGAGAGAGAGAGAGAGTGAGTTAGTGTTTTTCTCTTAGGCTATTTTCTTACCCCCAAACCTTCATTTACGAGGGTTTTTATAGTGTGTATTGAGTCTGTTTTTAGTTTAAACGGTAATAATTTGGTGTAATCATTCATAGTTGAGTATGCAAAAAACCATCGTCATACAAGAGCTTGTCAGCTTGGTGGAAGCTCATGTGTGATGTAAGACATAATATCACGTGTTGCATTCTTTCTGACCAAGTCTATGCAGATGGTGGCCGACGTAACTTGATTGTTTGGTAATTTCAAGTTATGATCGCTCACCATGCTCCGAAATTCGAACTGTAGTAGGGATTATATCCATCATACCGCATGAGTGCATGATGTCAGTTTGGTGGGATTGAATGACGCCATATTTGCACTTGGAAACAGAGGAAATAGGAAATTCAAACAAGAACTATTTCTCATTGTTTCATTTCATGTTTTGTCTTTGAATAAGTAGCCAATTGTGGGCTAGGAAGCCTAATCAGATTTAACATTGATTGAGGTAGACGTGAGAGAGAAGACACCAAGTAGTCTACAGTGATAATTTTACACTCGTAGTCAGACTTTGAATGATAGTTAATTGTCCTTATTCTTCTTTTTGAATTGCATTATTGGGTAAGGGTGAGTGTTTGCCAAAATATGGTACCAATGGTGACAATCAATACTGGGTCATATCAGTTGAGATATTATTACATTAATAAATTATATTAAATTTTTTATTTCAAAAAGTATTACTCTTTTATGACACTCATCGTGTGTAAAAGAAGTCTCTTTTCCCAAGAAATGATTTGGCTCATATTAAATTCGTTCGTATTTGTTCATTTAGTAAATTAATTGAGCTTAAACTCTATTTTGGGTTTTTGCTTTTGAGTTTAGATGTGTTTGAAATTAGGGGTGTTAATCTTGTGAACTTAAGTTTGATTCTGTCGAACTTGTTTTTCTAAATAATTTATCTCTTATCTGAATTAAACCCGAATAATTCATCTCAATTAATACTAATGTTTGAAATTGAATTAGATCTGCTTAACCAAATTAGTCTGAGTATTAATTTGGACAAACAATTAACTAGGTAAACTTGGACACGATGTTTGAAATTTGTGACTGCAAGAAGCAAAATCTGGATTTACCTCTACCTCTCTCTTAAGAGATGTTTAGTTTTGAGAGAGGTAGAGGTAAATCCAAATTTTGACTCTTACTGTGACAAATTCCAAATTAATCTCAAGCACTCTAACCCGAGTCAAATCAGACTGGAGCTGGATTTGACTCGTCGATTGATGCCCTAGAAATGGCTTTTCAAAGAGGAGAGGAGGGGCCAGGCCAGCACATAAAACTAGAATATATGTCCAAAACAAAAGCAATTTGAGCAGCATAAACCAAGTGCAAATAAAAGACTCAATGAGCAAGAGTTGGTGGCGGCCCTGGACATAGCTTTTGCATCATATACTTCCTCTTTCCTCGACCCTCCTAACGTCAGAGAGTATATCATCACTACACCTACGTAAACCCAGCAAAGCACAACGATTTTTTTACACAACAGTTCAGTAGGCCTCTCTTTCTTATCACTTGCATTTTATATTCAAGATTGTCTAGGATTATCACAGCTACAGCCACCAGCACTTAAGCACTACAGTTTCTTATAACAATACTGCCAATGGCCCTCAAGACAGCCTGATTAAGTTATTAATGGATCAACATCCCTTTTAATGCATTTTATCTTTAATTCTCTTTTTAGTGGATCATCCACTATTAATATGTAAATTCCTAGAGATACAATGATTCAAAGAGATTCATCTTTTCTAGGTAAATATACAATAGGATGGATTGAAAGAGACCTATCAATATTAGATTGTATGGATAGACATAGATGATAATAGATATGTGTACATTTATCTTTATCTTATGTAATCCTTACCCTCTAAATAAGGTTGAGTCTTATATAATTAATCACCTTCAATAATATATATAGAGTAATGCTACATGTACTTAAAAAGTAGACTTAAAAATTAAATTTGATAATTTCAACCATTAATTTCACTTTGGGTCCCAGCATTTATTATGACTCATTATCTATTCAATGGTTAAGATAATCAAGTCTAATTTTTAAATTCATCTAGTATTACTCATATATCAATGTAACCCATAGGGCATTAGGTCCGTGGATATAGGCAATTTGTCAAACCACGTTAATTATCTGTGTCTTATTTTCCTTTATTTTATTATCTCCAATCTCATATTCAGAAATTCTCCATAAATGATCACTTTGCATATAACATGTCTCACTTAAATGTATAATCGATATATGATCCGCCAGGAAATGAATTAACGATAAAGTATATATTGGATGAGATCTCATTTGGTTATTAAAAAAACTAACGAATTAAATTCTTCTTATCGGCACACACGCGCGCGCGCGCACACACACACACTCTCATATATATATATATATATATATATATATCAAAAAACTAATAAAACTAGAAAAGATTGGCTCGCGTCGTCTTCTCTGCATAGTTGGTACAAGTTACAACTATATATATATTGGAAAATGCTATGCTTACTAAATTTTTCATCTCAAATGATGTGGCACAATCTCCACCATTGAATATTAATAAGACCCACTTATCTGATGGTAAAAAACTATGCCACATTATTTGGGATGAAAATTTAATAAAAAAATTTAATAAAGATAGCATTACTCATATATATACCAGAGCAGAGCCTAAAAATCCTTTAATTTTAATTAGCAACACGTCGGGACTCTAGCTAGGACTCTAAGATCAATCTATACTTAGCAAAAATTTCGGGGTAATAACTTGTTTTTTGGTACTAAAAAAGTATAAAGATTTGAAAGACAGAACCTAATTGGAACTGCATGCAGTGTCTGGCTTTTTCAAGATGAATGCATGATTGGAACATGCTTTTAAAACACTATTACTCACCTTAACTTTATGAAATACGTCACTAACAGCAGCCAATGTGGGGTTGGTCTAAGACACCACTTTATTCTCTTTCTTCCCCCATTGGCCCAACCAAGCTCACACATTCAAACCTAATCTAGCTAACGAGTCATCATTCAACCAAAAACACTCTCCAAACTCTTCTATATAAACCCCATATATAACTTACTGCACACCAAACCAAACCCTTCTAATCAAGAAGCCTCGTGGTATAGATAGCCTTTGGAGAGATTTCTTTGGCGATCATGGCTCATGAAGTGGTGAAGGTGAACTTGAACTTGAGTTCAGAAACAAGAATGCCTGATACAAAAAACCCAGTAATCACAGCCCCTCCATCTCCATTTCAATTCCATTCACCTTCAATAATTCAGTCACCAGTTACCGATTCGCTCCCGAAAACTCCCAAAAGCCCATTTGCAGTACGTATGATGACACCTTTGGCCAGCCCCATTAAGAAGGCCATTGCAAACATGCAAGGTTACTTGGAAGAAATCGGTCACCTCACCAAGCTTGATCCGCAAGAACAATGGCTTCCAATCACGGAGTCCAGGAATGGTAATGCCTACTATGCAGCATTCCACACCCTTAGTTCAGGAATTGGTGTTCAAACTCTTGTGCTTCCCCTTGCTTTCACTGCCCTTGGTTGGTGAGTTTTATATACCCCAAATACTTGGGATTAAGACTTTTTTCGCGTTGTGTTGAACCGTGTTTTTCAATCTTCTTGGTTAGCTCACTTCCTTGCTTCCTATTATAACCCTGTTTGAACTTATTGCAGGACTTGGGGAATCATATGTCTGTCTCTGGCTTTTCTGTGGCAATTATACACCCTATGGTTACTGATCCAACTCCATGAATCAGTCTCTGGGACTCGCTATAGCCGGTATCTCAGGCTGTCAATGGCGGCTTTTGGTAAGAGCTCTCAGATTTGAGTGGAACTGTCTCATGCGATATCCATATATATATATATGGTCAAAGAAATATAAGAAATTTATTCACTTCCAAAGTTCTAACTCCAAGAGGTTGACCAATGTCCTAACTAAGATCATCATAATATGCTATATAGTTTGGGGTAGTGGATGAATAAGTATAGCATTATTCTTTTTTAATGTCTTAGTCCACGTGAATAGCCTTTTTTTTTTTTTTTAACTAGATAAAAAAAAATAGTCAAAATACATGTAAATTAGACCCAAAAATTTTATTAAAAAAAAATTAATTTTTTAGAAAAAGTTTCTTATCAGCACATGGGCATGTCAAGTCATAAGACACACACACAAAAGAACTAATACATTTTTGTACCTTTATATACTTTGCCTTCAGGTGATAAACTAGGGAAAGTGTTGGCGCTATTTCCGACCATGTATCTCTCCGGCGGTACGTGCGTTGCCCTAATCATGATCGGAGGAGGGACCATGAGAATACTGTTCCAAATAGTGTGTGGGGAGGCATGCAATGTAAACCCACCACCAATCATAGCCTGGTACATTGTGTTCACCTGCTCCGCCGTCATTCTGGCTCAGCTTCCCAACTTGAATTCCATCGCTGGCGTTTCGCTGGTTGGTTCAATCACGGCGGTGGCCTACTGTACGATGATATGGGTGGTGTCCGTCGTCAAAGAAAGGCCCTTTGATGTCTCCTACGAACCACTAGAGGCACAATCTGGTGTGGCTAGGGTGTGTAGCATTCTTAATGCACTTGGGATCATTGCTTTCGCTTTCAGAGGCCATAATCTAGTGCTCGAAATACAGGTTGGTAACACACAATTATAAGAATAGCTTAAATGGCAACCCGAACGAGTTATAATTTCGGATTAATCTCATTTTATACCCTGAAAGATAGTTCGAATTTTAATTTACACTCTCAAAGAGTAAAAATCTCAATTTACACCCTCAAAGATAGAAATTTGTATCAATGTGCACCCACAAAGATCAAAAATCTCAATTTGTACCCTCAAAGATAGAAATTTGTATCAATGTGCACCCCAAAAATAAAAAATCTCAATTTGCACCCTCAAAGATAGAAATTTATATCAATGTGCACCCTAAAGATAAAAAATCTCAATTTGCACTCTCAAATATAGAAATTTGTATCATTATGCATCTAAAACTAAATTGATANTGTGCACCTAAAACTAAATTGATAAATTATACCTAGATCCTCTCATGTTTGTCACTTAATCATTTGGACCTCTTTACATTTAGAATATTACTCCTACATCTCATGACATTTATCCACGTATAACATGTAACCCATTTTCATTGATATCTGTTAATATAACCATTAAAAAATATAATTTTATCCTAATAAAAAATTATAATTTCATATTACCCTTATTTTATGGGTCCAATATACTCTAAAGTTCAAAATCAAGCTTACCATTTGAATGTCTAATAAAATGTAGATATTTATATAATATTTTTCATATTTTTCTTTTTATAAATATCTACATTCTATTAGACATTCAAATGATAAGTTTGATTTTGAACTTTAGAATATATCGAATCCACAAAATAAAAGGTAATATGAAATTATAATTTTTTATTAGGATAAAATCATATTTTTTAACGATTATATTAATAGATGTCAACGAAAAGTGGTTATGTTTACACATGTACAAACGTCATGAGATGTAGGGGTAATATTCTAAATGTGAAGGGGTTCAAATGATTAAGTGACAAACATGAGGGGATCTAGGTATAATTTATCAATTTAGTTTTAGGTGCACATTAATACAGATTTCTATCTTTGAGGGTGTAAATTGAGATTTTTGATCTTTGAGGGGTGTACATTGATACAATTTTCTATCTTTGAGGGTGTAAATTGAGATTTTTAATATTTGGGGGTGTAAATTGAGATTCGAACGATCTTTCGGGGTGCAAAATGAGATTAACCCTATAATTTCAGACCTCTTGATTGCCCCTGAAACTAGTTCATGAAAGATTTATTTTTTATGGATACCCTAATTCAAAACATAGATAACTTATTTTTAATCGGACTAAGGAAGGTATTAATGGAGGTGTATATAAACTGATCTAGATATCACTGACTATTGAAAAAAAAACACATTTTATATACCAATAATGCCTATTTGTACTTAGTTTGGCACCTAATACTTTGTAATAATTAGGTTGATAGTGGAACTCACTCAATGCTAAGGACTCACTATTAGTCCAATTACCTCAATGAAGTAGCTCATCAAATTAAGTATCAATAACATTATTTTCAAGTTAAGTACCAAATACACACATTCATGGCTCGTGATTTACCATTAAAAAAAATTGCATATATTATATTAGAGAGAATCCATATCTTGTAAAAACAATGCATATCAATCTAAGTTCTCTTTAGAGAAACATTGCATACCAATTTTTGTAGAGCTTAGTGAATATGTGGTGTTTGTTACTGCAGGGTACAATGCCTTCAAGCCTAAAGCATCCATCGCGTGTGCCAATGTGGAGAGGGGTGAAGTTCTCATATCTTATCATCGCATTGTGTTTGTTTCCGCTGGCAATAGGGGGTTATTGGGCTTATGGAAGCTTTGTAAGCACCTGAAACTTCATCACTTGGGCTTTGCATCCTCTGTTGGACTAATCCAGTCACACAAAGGACAAAACAAGCCCACAATTTCAACCCCCCCCCCCCCCCC